GCCCCATCAGACTAACAGTGGATTTCAGCAGAAACCTTACAGACCAGGAGAAAATGAGATGATATATCAACAGGGCTGAAGGGGAAAAAAAGTAAGCCAAGGATACTATGTCTAGCAAAATTACCCTTCGTAAATGAAGGAAAAATAAAGTATTTCCAAGACAAGCCAAAGCTGAGAGAATTTATCACCACTAGACTGGCCATACAAGAAATGCTCACAGGAGTCCTCAACATGGAAGTGAAAGCACAACATTTAACATTATGTAAAACACATGAAAGTATTAAACTCACTGGCAAAGCAAACACACAGATGAGGAAAAGACTCAAATGCTACCACCACAGAAAACCACCAAACTACAATGCCAAACAAAAAGGAACAAAAAATACATAAAACAATCAGAAAACAACAGTGTAACAATAATAGAACCTCACATGTCAGTAATCCTTGAGTGGGCATGGTGACTTATGCCTGTAATTCCAGCACTTTGGGAGGCCAAGGTGGGCAGATCACCTGAGGTCAGGAGCTTGAGACCAGCCTGGCCAACATGGTGAAACCCCATCTCTAAAAATACAAAATTAGCCAGGCATGGTGGCACATGCCTGTAATCCCAGCTACTCAGGAGGCTGAGGCAGGAGAATTGCTTGAACACAGGATGCAGAGGTTGCAGTGAGCTGAGATTGCACCCCTGTGCATCAGCCTGAGCTACAAGAGCGAAACTCTGTCTCAAAAAATTATCATGTGGCATTTGTACCAGAAATGCAAGGATGGTTTAACATACACCATTCAGTAAATGTGGTACATCACATCAACAGAATGAAGAGCAAAAATTGTATGGTTATCTCAATAAACACAATAAAAGCATTTGATAAAATTCAACATGGCTTCATGATTAAAAAAACAAACAAACAAAAAAAACCACTCAGAAAACTGCATAGAAAGAAGATAGTAAAGGCCATAAATGATAAACCTACCGCTAATATCATATTAAATGGGGAAAAACTGAAAGTCCTTCTTCTGAGAACATGACAAGGATGCTCACTTTCACCACTCCTGTTCAACATAGTACTGGAAGTTCTAGCCAGAGAAATCAGGCAAGAGAAAGAAATAAAAGGCATCCAAATTGGAAAAGAGAAAGTCAAATTGTCCCTTTTTGCAGATGACATGATCTGATACTTAGAAAAACCAAAAAGACTCCACCAAAAATCTCTTAAGGCTGATAAGCAAATTCAGCACAGTTGCAGGATATAAAGCTAACATACAAAAATCAGAGTTTCTATACACCAATAATAAAATAGCTGAAAAAGAAATCAAGAAGGTAATCTGATTTACAACAGCTACAAAAAAAAAAAAAAAAAAAGATACTTAGGAATAAATTTAATCAAGTAAGTGAAAGATCTCTGCAAGGAAAACTGTAAAACACTGAGGAAAGAAACTGAAGAGGACACAAACAAATGGAAAGACATCCCATGCTTATGGATTGGAAAAATTAATATTAAAATGACTATACTGTCCAAAGCAATCTACAGATTCAATGTAATTGCTATCAAAATACCAATGTAATTTTTTGACAGAAGTAGAAAAAACCCTAAAATTTGTACAGAACCAAGAAAGAGCTAAAACAGTCAAAGCAATCCTGAGCAAAAAGAACAAAGCCGTAGGCATCACATTACCTGACTTCAAAATATATCACAAGGCTATAGTAACCAAAACAGCATGGTATTGGTATAAAAATACACCCACAGACCAAAGGAAAAGAAAATAGAACCCAGAAATAAAGCCACATATTTACAGCCAGCTGATTTTCAACAAATGTGCCAAGAACATGCAATGAGGAAAGGACATCCTCTTCAATAAATGATGCTGGGAAAATTAGATATCCATAAGCAAAAGAATAAAACTGGACCTGTGTCTCTCACCATATACAAAAGTCAACTTAAGACGGAGTAAAGATTTAAATATAAGACCTTGAATTATGAAACTACTAGAAGAAAACTTAGGGCAGAACACTTCAGGACATTGGTCTGAGCAAAGATTTTATGGCTAAGACCTGAAAAACATAACTAAAACAAAAATAGACAAAGGGAACTATATTAAACTAAAAATCTTCTGCATAGCAAAGGAAATAATCAACAGAGTACAGAGAAAACATGTTGAGTGGGAGAAAGTATTTGCAAAACTCTTCATCCAACAAAGGACTAATATCTAGATATAAGGAATTCAACAAAAAAAAAAAATATTAAAAAGTGGGCAAAAGGTGGGGCACAGAGGCTAATGCCTATAATCCCAATACTTTGGGAGGCCGATGTAGGTGGATCACTTGAGCCCAGGAGTTCAAGACCAGCGGGCAACATGATGAAACCTCATCTCTACAAAAAATACAAAAATTAGCTGGGTGTAGTGGCACATACCTGTAGTCCCAGGTGGTACATACCTGTACTCAGGAGGCTGAAGTGGGGAGATCACTTGAGCCCAGGAGGTTGAGACTGCAGTGAGATGTGGTTGTGCCACTGCACTCCAGAGCCTGGGTGACAGAGCAAGACCCTGTCTCCAAAAGAAAAGGTTGGGGGCGGGGGGCTGGGGGGCAAAAGACATGAATAGATAATTCGCAAAAGAAGACATACACATGGCCAATAGGTATATTAAGAAATGCTCAACATCACAAAAATGAAATACAAATCAAAACTACAATGAGATATCATTTTATCCCAATTAGAATGACTATTATTAAAACGACAAAAAATAATAGAACTGGAGGTCATGTTCATTGGAATATCCCAGGCACAGAAAGACAAATACATGTTCTTACTCATACGTGGCAGCTAAAACACTTGATTTCATGGAGATAGAGAATAGAATGATAGATAGCACAGGCTGGGAAGGGTGTGAGAGTAGAAGGGGGAAATGAAGAAAGGTTGATAAGTGGGTATAGACTTATAGTAGATAGAAGAAACAAATGTTAGTTTAATAGCTAATGTTAAATAGCAGACTAGCATGACTATGGTTAGCAACAACATATTGTATATTTCAAAGTAGCTAGAAGAGAGGACTTGAAATGTTACCAACACATAGAAATAATAAATACTAAGGTGATGGATACCCTAAATATGCTGACTTGATCATCATACATTCTGTGCATGTAAAAAATATTCACATGTACCCCATAAATATGTAAACTATCAATTAAAAAAGAAAGATCCATCCTAAAGTTTATATGGAATCTCAGGGGACCCCAAATAGACAAAACAAATTGAGAAGAAACAAAGTTGAAGGAGTCACACTTACTTGATTTCAAATTGTACTACAAAGCTACAGTAATCAAAACAGTGTGGTACTGGCATAAGGAGAGACATAGAACCAATGGAATAAAATAAAAAGCCCAGAAATCCCCACGTAATGGTCAATTGATTTTTGACAGGGGCGCAAAGACCATTCAATGGGAAAAGAGTCTTTTCACCAAAAGATGCTGGGAAAACTAGATATCTACATGCAAAAGAATGAAATTGTACTCTTACCTTGTACTATATACAGAAATTTACTTAAAATAGGTCAAAGAACTAAACAAAAAAACTAAAGCTATAAAATGCTTAGAAGAAAGAAAACAGAATCCTTCCAGATTTTTGATTAGGCAATTATTACTTTTTTTTTTTTTTTTGAGACAGGATCTTGCTCTGTTGCCCAGGCTGGAGTGGTACAATCAAAGCTACTGCAGCTTCAGACTCCTGGGCTCAAGCAGTCATCCCACCTCAGCCTCTTGAGTAGCTAGGATTACAAGTGTGCACACCTGGCTAATTTTATTACTATTTTGTGTGTGTGTGGACAGGATCTCGCTATGTTGCCCAGGCTGGTCTTGAACTCCTGACTTCAAGCAATTCTCCCCAGCCTCCCAAAGTGCTGAGATTACAGGCACAAGCTACCCCATCTGGCCAGGCAATGATTTTGTATGTATGACACCCAAGGCATAGGCAACAAAAGAAAAAAATAGATAATTTGGATTATGTCAATATCTAAAATTTTTGTGTTTCCAAGAACACTGTTAAGGAAAAGAACCCATAGAATGGGAGAAAATAACTGAAAATCATACATCTGATAAGAGATTTATATTCAGAATATATATAGAACTCTTAAAACTGAACAACAAAACCAATTCAAAAATGGGCAAATGATTTAAATAGACATTTCTCATAGGAAAATATACAAATGGCCAATAAGTACATGAAAAGACAAACATTAGGCATTAGGGAAATGCAAATAAAAACCACAGTGTGCTACCACTTCACACTTAAGATGGCTGTTACAAGCACACACTCAGAGAAAACAATGTGTTGGGAGGATGTGGAGAAACTGGATCCCTTGTGCATTGCTGGTGGGAATATAAAATGGTACAGCCCCTTGGGAAACAACTTTGTGGTTCTTTAAGAAGGTGAATATAGAATATTACCATATGATCCAGCAATTTCACTCCTAGATATACACCCCAAGGACCGAAAACAGGGACTCACATATGCATGTACACCAGTGTTCTTAGTGGCATTATTCACAGTAGCCAATAGGTGGAAACAACTCAAGTACTTACCACCAGATGAATAAACAAAATGTGGTATGTATACATACAGTAGGGTGTTATTCAGCCAAAAGAGGAATAAAATTCTGACACATCCTACAACATGGATGGACCTTGAAAACATTTTTGCTAAGTGAAATGTCAAGACACAAAAAGACAAATATTGTACCATTCAGCTTACATGAGGTATCTAGAACAGGTAAATTCATAGAGATAGAAGGTAGAATAGAGGTTACCAGGGGCTATGGGGAGGAGGACATGGGGAGTTACTGTTTAATGGATATATAATTTCTGTTTAGGATGATGAAAAATTTCTGGAAATAGAATGATGGTTTCATGACATTGTAAATATACTTAATGCTACTGAATTGTACACTTAAAATTGTTGTAATGGTAAATTTTATGTTATTTATATTTTACCATGGTTTTTTTCTTAAAGTCAACATGGAAATGTGATGAGTGGATTTGAATCACAAGCATTGGCTCCCCTCAGCTACTAAATCCAACACAAAGTGACATGTTGCTGTCCTTTGTGGGACAGAGCAGGAATGGCAGGGGGTGGCCATGCCATTGGCATTGTCCTCTTCTGTCTGAGACAGGTAACTGTGGGTACAGGAAGGGCTGGTCTGTTTATCTGTACCTGGTTTCTCATGGCTTTCTCAGCCAGCTGCAATTAAGGACCACTTCTGTATGAATCACAGATGATGGACCTCTCTGATATCAGCCTTACTTTGACTTTGACTTTAGGGTTGAAGTGAAGACATAAGTAGAATACATATCAGAACTAGACCCAGCTGCTGTTATACTGGAACAGTATGTTCTGGAGAGCCTGGAAGGAGAGGGCAGGATGAAGCATTGTAGGACAGGACTCCAGAGACGTGGTGGTGGCGGAAGCCTGGGGAGCTAGGGGGATTTAGTGGGCCTGGAGAGGCCAAACCGCTGCTCCAGCTGCTGGGCCTAGGGTTTAGCGGGGTCTGTCAGAGTCTGATGGCCTTACAAGGTTAAGCCAGCATCCTGTCCTTAACCCACATTCCCTCAGGCTGGAGGGTGGGGGAGTGGGTGGCAGAAGGGCATTGCTCATGGAATTAAGACGTCCTCAAAGCCAGTGACGCCACCCTGGTATAGCAAGGACCAGGCTGCCCTGGGGGCTACACAGGTGGCAGCTGCCGTGGAGTGACAGGCATGTGTTTTCTTCTCAGAAACAGACTGAATTTGATCTGATTAATGTGAAGGACTGGCCAGTCTGGGAAACCGCCTGCCACGTGGAAGAGCCAAGCCCGACTCTCTGCTGGCACATGCTGTTCCCATGCCTGGTTGCTGAGCACCTGGGAGAGCTTCCGGAGTCCTCGCAGACAGCCCAGAGCCTGCCGCTACCCTCGGCCTGTCCACCACCAAGCAAGCAGCAAGCAAGATGGGGTTCTCATCAGTTCTTCCTCCCACAATGTAGGACCTTTCCTTTACCTTCCAATGGATAAAATAGTTCAGATTTCATAGTCATATTCATAGACACAGAATCAAGCTTTTAACATATACATCCACCTCTATATGTTAAATAAAACATCAGATTATCAACACTGTCATTACGTAGAAACTTTGGTTAGCCAAACAGTGCATTGTCATTTATGTCATCTCTAAAAATGACCTGTGTCTGTTCTCTGGGGATTGCTGGGTCACAGATGCCCCTCACCTTCCACAGTCAGGCAGGGAAGTTATAGACACAAAGCCACGTCTGGAATCCCTTTGTGCCCCCTTTGTGTTCCTCAAGGAAGCAGTACCTTTGAAGAGATCTCTGCTGTATTAAATGGTGACTGGCTACCTTTCATGCCAGGCTTGCTTTGCCTGTGGGCTACTCAGAACCTGCTGTAACCCTCAGCTCAAAAAATGGACTGGTAATGTGAGTAGTGTTGGATGCTTTACCGCTCTCTTTAGTTGTTACCGTAATTCTGCTTTTTCATGGGAGTTTGAATCGTGGACCATAACTTTTCAGTTATCAGATCAACTAAAGAAACATTTGTTGTTAAGCCTAATGTGCTGACCTATGTGCCTGCATTTTTTTTTAAATCTAGACATGTTTGGAGTGAGAGAAATATGGAAAAAAGAAACGGGGTAGGGATGTAAGTGGAAGTCTGTAGCCACAGCCTGTAGATTTGACCACTGCAGTTTTCAGAGCCCTTTCTCCACACTCGTTTCAGAGCCTCCTGTGGTTTGGGAAGGAATAACACACTGGCCCATTAGTAAGGGTGAAGGCTGGAGGGATTTGTTGACTTCTTGGAATTATCAGAGGTAGGGTGGTCTTTAGCACAAAGACTTGCATGAGGGATCCCTGGCAGAACACCCAGAATGCCCCTGGCTCCCACCCCGGTCTGGCCGGTGTGCTGGATGCACGCCCGAGGGTGCTGGGCATCACTGGTCCTTGTGAGGATGCTTTTAAAGTTCTATATTTATATCCCCAAACTTGGAAACAAGAACTCTACTTTAGCCTAACCCTCATGTCCTTTTTTGAATTGAGAAAATTACAGGAAAGGGTGCCTTTGAAAATTAGAAAACTTGCTTACAGAGCTGTACTAAATGGTAAATCCTCCATTTCCCCAAGACCGGTTGCTCTGAGAGTAGCTGGTAAAGAGGGGTGAGCTAAAGACCTGTCCACCTGTAGCTCCACTCACGTCTTAGAAACCACCTGCTTCCCAGAGTGCCAAGCCACAGGTACCAGGCTTCATGGGCACAGACGCCTCCTGGGCTGGACTGGGTGACAGTGCTAGAAGACCCCAGAGAGAGGGCAAGAAGCACTGGTGGTGGTTCAGGGACCGTCCTTCTCCCCCACCTAGGGAACTGGACCTGGCAGGGCACTGTGCTCATGTGGCTCCAAGGACAAGCGTGGCGGTGGCCCCTCTGCCTTCCAGGAGAGGGCTGGCTGTGGAAACCAAAATCGTGTTCTTCTAAATGTCATCTTTTGCCCTCCCTGTCCCAATAGGGACCACATCTTATTTGTCTCAAACAGAGACTTGTGAATACTTGGCAAGTTTCGCAGCCTATTTTTGTATTCTTAATTTGGGGAGTGAAGATGTTTGGTCTCAAAAACCTTTGAGGAATTGCCAAAAATGGCGAGTGATTGCTTTCCTTCAGAGAACAGACACTTGGAATTTCTCCTTTTAGTGTTTATATACATGCAGATTAATTTATATATATATACACACACAGACACACACACACATACAGTATAAATACTCATTTGATTCTCGTAAAACGTGCATCTGGCGTGTGCAGTTGAGAAACTTGGTGGCACATGGGTATTGGGGAAGTAGCCTGTGTTGGAGGGACACCAGTGCACTAGGCATCTGGGGTGGCCCAGGCTGAAGCCATCTCCAGGTGTCTGAGAAACCACCCAGTGCCTCACCTCCAGATCCTGCTGGCGTCACCTCCAGAGCCCTGCATGCACTGGCTGAAGTTGGTCTATGGAGAGGATTTTCTTGGTTACTTGTATTCACAGTTAACTTACAACCCAAACAGCAAAACACAGTTGGTGGACAAGTTCATGCAGGACCTAGAGTGACCCAGCCATGGGCACTAGCTCATCTTTCAGGTGGAAGAGTACAGTGCTGCGTGCCCTGGTATGTTTTTCTTACAGATGTTAGCCCTGCCCAACAGCCAGGGCTACACCACAAAAGGCAAGAATGCCCATGTTAAGGAGCCCAGCAGTCTGGACAGATCCTTCTTCCTCTGCTCTTGGATGAGAGTGAGTGAGTATGGTCTGGACCTTATCCTTGAAAGGTGATCAAAAGCGATGATGAGGGAGGCAGTCACCACACAGGTGCTTAAAGGGACGTTGTAGGAGGTACTCAAAGGTTTGGCGGCAAAACCCTGAATGCAGCCAATCGTGCACAGACACACCCCCACGCTAGCCCAGTGGCAGTGGGGAATGTGGGATGGCAGCAGCCAGGTATGTAGCCCTGTCACAGGACAGCTCATTGTGGTTTTGCACACTGCCAAAGGGTTAACTTTTGTTGTTGCCTTCAGTAGAAGGCATTTGTGGGCTGCAGAGTTGAGAGGTGGGTGAGGTTAGTCTCTCCTGAAGAAAAAGCTTATAAAAAGTGGCTAATCTTATCCGTTTTCTCTGTATGCAGTTGGAGTCGTCAGAGATAGTAAAATCATCTTTTATTGTTTTTTTGTTGTTGTTGCTGATGTCCTGTACCTGTTTGTTTTTTACATGGAGTTGTAGATCCAGTTCTCATAGGTGAACCAGATCATCATTCTGATAAAGGAAATTTAAATTTGATACATGTGCTTTGTATATTTTGATTACTTGTTTTCGTTTTTGACTATAAAGGAGCTTTTTTATTTTGGGAGGGGAGGAGTATCATTTCTGAGAATCTTGGGTTCCTGAAAACGCCCTAGTTGGATGGCTTGCCAGGGCCTTGAGGTCTGGCAGTGATTGTACAACTTAAAGCTCCTTTCTCTTGGCTGAGTGGCAGGCGGCTGTTCAGGTGGACCAAAGCACCTTGACACAAGGACTCCACACTCTGCTCTCTAGTAGCACAAGGAGGAAGTTGGACAGAACACTGGGTAGTGCCTTGTGGGCTCCCACATGTACTAGTGGTCTCATCTCCAGCTGGCCTTGGGAAGCTGTCCCACCAGGAAATTTGTATATTCTCCAGCCTGAGATGTGACCCTCGTGGGTTTTATCCTGCTCAGTCAGTGGCCTAGTGGCAGATGCTGTGTTCTCTCTCTCTCCCTCCTGGCTCTGGGACATCTGTCCCTGGCTGCCTTTATAGAGGAAGGACACTGGCCTTTCTGGTTGGACGCTGTGTGGATGCTCTCTGCTTGAGCCTCATAGTCTCTGATCTTGTCTCTTCTTGGACCAGTATCCTCAGATTGGTGCAGCTTTTTCAGTTCAGATATCACACCCCAAGTGGATAAAGGCAACTTGCAGGAGAGGAGAGCCAGCCAAGAAGAACATTTTAAAACCAAACCTAGTTTGGGATTTTCCTAAAGTCATGTCCTCTTTTTTCTTGCTCAGAGTTTACCTGGGAGATTTCACCAGTTTGACTCACCATTTGCAGAAGACGTGCTTTTGTATTAAGCTTAAATTTTCACATATCACATCCATTCTCAAGGTAGTTATATGCTGGAGAAGAAAAATCCTCTAGACACATGAAGGCCCACATAGTCAACTCTTCCAGGGCAAAGCCAGCAGCCCACCCAGGTCAAGTAGCCAGCAGGGCTCAGTTCCCCGCACTCCAGACATGGACCCTCCCCTTCAGGGTCTCTTGACCCAGCTTCCTTCTCTCCTTTTCCCTGAGAGCACAGACCTCAGCCAGCCTGCCCAGACCACAGGGGGCCGTTCCCATGTAGCCTGGGGAGTACTTCATCTCAGAAAAGCTCCAATGTCTGAGCAAGCAGGGAGTTGTGGAGCTCAAGCCTTTCTCCTGTGCTCAAGTCCCTTCCCCAAGCAAGGCTTCTACCTAATCTACTCGCCATGTAGTTTTCTCTGGCCATTTAAATGGGGCAGGGACATGGTTGGGCCATGCCACACCAGGGCTGGTGAGGCAACCAGTTTTGATTTTGACAGAGTGACTGGATGAAACATGGCAATCAAGGTGCTGCTTGGTTTGCTCTGAGTGCAAATGGAACCAACAGGTTTCTGCTGCAATCTGTGTTCCCAGTGCCAGGTGACACCAGGAAGGGTAGGGCAGGGCTAAGTTGTCTCTGAATTCACTGAGCATCTGCACTTAGTTGTGAAGTTAATGGGAGTACATAGAGTATCTGGCCTTGGAGAGGGGTTGAGAGCCTCCTTTTTGGTTCTTCATTCCTGAGCTCTTGCCTACCCACAAATCTGACCTCTTTGAATGGGGGCTAAGTCCTTCATCAGACTGAAGATATAACAGAGAAGTTTGTATTTAGCCCTAGATCCAGCAGGAGTCATCCATTCTAACTGCCCTGAAGTCTAGAGCAGGGGAGGGAACCCAGAGGCTGGGGATGAAACTAGGCAGACCCTGGTTATCACAGGGAAAAGCACCCCCTTCCTCAGTTTTGCAAGTCCTGTCTTTGGGTTCACAGGACTTTGAGGATGGTGAAGAACATAGTTACTAGCCTGTGGTTCCTGGTCCCAAGCTTCCACAGCCCTCAGAACCTGGCTTCTGTGGCTGCTCTGGCAGGTGCCGAGCAAAGGGAGAAGAGAGGAAGGCAGCTGCTCTGGTGGGGACTCTAGGCACCTTCCCTGCTGTCCATTTGGATAGGTGGTGAGCCCCAGGGTACTGAGAGGAGCCTGAGCATTCACCTGCCATTAGTGCCTCTTCCTTCAGGAGACTGGCTTGAAATTGTGTGTGTGTGTGTGTATGTGCGCGCACACACACACACACACAGATGAGCACCTGTATGTGTTAATGAATAGTTTTTCTTGGTTAATACTTTTTAACTTCTGTTCCTTTCCATAAGTGGATGATTCAAAATTAATGTGACTTGGCCAGGTGCAGTGGGATTACAGGATCACACCTGTAATCCCAGTACTTTGGGAGGCCAAGGCGGGCGGATCACCTGAGGTCAGGAGTTCAAGACCAGCCTGTCCAGCATGGTGAAACCCCGTTTCTATTAAATATACAAAAATTGGCCTGCCGTGGTGGCGGGCGCCTGTAATCCCAGCTACTCAGGATGCTGAGGCAGGAGAATTGCTTGAACCCGGGAGGCAGAGGTTGCAGTGAGCTGAGATCGCGCCACTGCACTCCAGCCTGGGTGACAAAGCTAGACTCCATCTCAAAAAAAAGAAAAAGAAAAAAGATTAATGTGACTGGAGTTAAAGGTGAAATGTCAGGTTGTTTAGTCACTGAATTCAGAGAGCTACAAGTGCTTGGTCTTTCCCAAGAGTCAAACCCGAGTATAGAAATACATTTAAAAGAAAAATCTACCACATGGTACCTATGAATCCTGTAATTTGTTCAGGGAGATCTTGTCACTCATCCCTGGTTCCTGCCCATACAGTTTTGTCTCATTCTTGCAGTTTGCTTGAAACAGGGCCAGAGCCCCACATGAGACTGTCAGCAGGAGTGAGGAGCGGGCGCTGGCCCCAGCAGGGACCCAGCACAGCAACCGGGTTGTTCCCTGTTAGACTGGGTCAGGGCCAGGGGGGAAGCAGTCACCCCTGTGTAGAGGGTGCCCGCTGCACTTCTGAGCAGTTGCTTTGTTCAGAAGTGTTAGGAGGGTCAGATTGTGCCATAATTGTTATTAAAGAGAAAACACGCCCACCTTCTTCTCTCCCCTGCTGGCCATTGTTCATTGAGAGTTTTACTGAGCGCAGCCTTTGTGGAAGTCAGGGAGGTTGCCAAAGGCCTGTAGATGCCTCCTGACAAGGTCTTGATTCCTGGTTTTCTAGCACCCATTTGCATTTTAGTCTTCAGCACAAAGCCTTGTTCCCTGTGTAAGACTGGGGAGTGACTGTTGAGCAGTCTGCTGTCAGGAGAGATGGCTGAAAAGGTGATCATCTTGGTGCTAAACAAGAGGCAACTGCCCTGTTTTTGTTTGTTCTGAGGCACAATGAAACTTTAGCCAAACTCTGCAAGAGGGTCCCCTCTCCTGTCATGGCCAGGTGAGTGACCAAACCGAGAAAACGGCATACTCTATCACTGAAGCCTCAGTAGAATGGGAATTCTTTACCCTGGGTAAATGTTTTAACAAAAAAATGAACCCACCTTTGGTTTGGACTGTGGTCGTGCCGAGGCAGGAGTGGGGTTTCCCTCTTGGGGCTGAATCTCCAGGCCTCATGAGGTCCCCTGTGGGGATGCTGCTATTTCTAAGATGCAAATTGCACATTTCCTAGATTTTGTATCTGGATTTGGATAAGGGAGGGGAACAGGGACAAATTGCTTGTACAATTTGAAATGGGCCTCAATGGTACTTCAAACCTTTTGATTATTCCTAAATAAAAACATAAATATATTTCACATCTGCTGACTTATTTTGTGGGGGAGTCAGGAAAAAAGCCAAAAACATTTCACTTCTTCTTGCCCACTTCTGTGGATCTTAAACTCCAGTGGATGGGTGGGGCAGTTTCCCTCAGCTCACTAGAGAAGTTCCAACTCACTGTCTTCTGCACTGCCGAGTTCACTGCACTGGCTTCTACATGAGAAAACGGATATGTTAGAAATCATGCTAAATAGACAAAGGCAAACAGTCAAACCTGGTGTCATCTGGTGAGAGACACTAGCGAGTTTTTTCTGTTCCTGTGAGTGCGGAAAAGCAGAGCCCGTCATTTGCTGGAGCGGGCTTGGGTGTTAGTGAATATGCATAAGGACCTGGGGCCTTCTGGAGGAACAAAACTGAAGCCCATACTTTTAAGACCCAAAGCCATTGAATTTTGTTGGGGTGGCCCTGAAGGCCTGGGGCAGAAGGAAAAAGGGTCCTTTGAAATGAAATCACCTACAGTGGAGCCAGGTGGTGATTCTGGACACCAGAATAGGAGTCCAGCTTATGTCATGGGGAAGCAGTGTGTGTTGAATCCCAAAAGCCAGGTCCTTGGAAACTAGACCAAACTGGCATGCAACTGGCAGAGCCAATCAGCTGAATGCCGTAGTGGGTAGACTCAGGCAGTGACTCACTTCGGGACACTGTGGGTGGAATTCACAGAACGGCCAGCCAGGCGGTTGTTGTGGGGTTCCTCCAGACAGAGAACAGAATGCCTAGGTTGACCCCTAAGCACAGGTCCCCTGGGAATTTAGTACTGAAGTACCCAGAGAAGACAGGAGTCGCAGGCTGAGACTGTGCTTGATCCATTTAATTAAAATGTGAAGAAGGCATGACCTTTTCATTCACCGAGTTAGTCTGGTGGGATAACCTAAACCTACTTGCTTTCTACCCGCCCTCAACAGAACTCATATGGTGAGTGATGGGCTCAAGTTGAAAGACAAGTTTCTAGGTCCAGGCCCAGCTCTCAGGTGATGTTCAAGATGTGCTTGGTCAGGAGGGAGACCCCTGCCTTTTCTGCTCATGGCCATAGATACTCAACTGAGGTCAGAAACTGCTCCATCTTCCCGCAGGGCAGCCTTTTTCCTGTGGCAGGGGGCAGAATGCCCCTGACCTTGTAGGCTGTGCCCTGTATGTGTACATGTCTGCTGGGCCAAAGCTGTTGAAAGTGAAGATCTGTCACTTTGAACCCAGTCTACTTGTCTCTGGTCTGTCAGCCAGAAAGTTCTACCGGTAATGACAGGAGAGCAAGGAGCCCGCAAGGGAGCCCATCTGCCTTTTGGTACCAACGACTTCCCTCTCTCAGCCCTGCCTGCTCTTTTCGTTTGCCCTGCCAAAATCAGTGTTTTTCAACCCTCTTACTCATTTAAATCACCTTGGGAGGTTTGGAACACTACCTATGCTAAGGCCCTGGGTACCAGCATTTTTCAGACGCTCCCCAGGTGGTGCTAATGTGCTGTTAGGGTTGAGACTCCACAGGTCATAAACCTGAGCTGTCGCACTGTAGGGACATGGCCCACAAGCAAGCATGGGATGGCGGAACAACTCCTGATGCCAAAGCATTCGGCCCCAAGTAAGGGTCTTCCCCACCAACACTCCGCCTTCTAGGTCAATCAACGTTTGTCAGGTCTGTCTGGAGGAATCTTGAAGTGAAAATGATCTTTAAATTTGCTTGAGAGTTGGCACGTTTTCCACTAGGAAGAACAATCAAAACATTTCCAGTGAGAGGCAAAAAGGCAATGTCTTACAGAGCCCAAGAGAGGTGAGTCTCAGGTCTACAAAGCTGCCTTAAGAAAGGCAGAGCTGTCCGTTCCCCAGGTTGTGTTCCAGAAAGACACTTGTTCAGCAAATAGAGATATGTATTGATGAAAATTAAAAGGGTCAACACCAACAGGCCAAGGATGTCCTAACCAACACAGATGGGCCCTAACAGAAGGGCCTACACAGTCCTCTTCCTTCTCTGATAGGAAACCTTCCTCTCCAGGCCATAAACATCTAGAGAGGAAACATGGATCGTGAGGGCCGGGGTGAATTCCCACCCACCACCTTCTTGTGTATGGGAAAAAGCCACCCTCCTCTCTATGAGCTGGGACTGTGAAGCTGTAGAAGAAAGAAGAAAGTCACACAAGAACCTGAGCACTATCGCTGTTTGATACTGGCATGTTCATGTCATCCATGGAACTGGATCTATCTAAAATTTTTTGTGTGGCATCATTTTTGTTCCATCCCAGCACAGCCCACTATGAAAACAGAACCTTAGGAAGAGAAGGGCCTTTCAACTGTGTTCTGGGCACAGAGATTTCAGCTGCCAAGTCCTGGAGACAACCAGAATGGCACCTGGCAGTGTTAACTGAATGCAGTATTTTTGGAAGGCAAGGTTTCTGTGGCACTGGAAAGGGGCTCTGGTTGTTTCCGGCTCACCACCAAAGCTGGCTGGCCACAAAGAACCCAGGCAGGATGTACTCTGCTCAGACACACCCTCAGAGGATGGGCAGGAGAGAGTGGACCCACAACTCCTGTTAGCCCAAAGGAGGGAAGGGCTGCTTAACCTGAGAAGGTTCCAGAAACTTCCCACCTGCTTCTATTGCAGAACCATCCAGTGATTGTTTCTACTGAGCATGTCCCCGTGCAACAGGCTTTCCTGAGCCCCCCAAAGATCATACAAGTCAAAGGAAAAAGGACATGAGGATGATTTATTTGGCAGTCAGATCTTAAGAGGGCAGCAGAACTAGCAAATGGCCAACCCTGAGCCCAAATGTGGGCAGTAGGTTTGTGTGTGCTGAATGCTGGCTATGCTATGAGGCACCTTTGCGCCCATGGGCCTGGCCCCGGCCTCGGCCTCTGTCCTGAGGTGCGGGCTGCCTTTTTAACTTTCCCATCTCCATCCCTGGATCTTTTTTACCAGTTAGAAGCTGCAATAAGGATGGCAGCTTCATTCAGCACCCAACTGCCTGTACCCCACCCACCCAGGAGGCAGGCAACTCCTCAATCGCTTTTTAATTCCTCAGGGAAAGCATATTGAGTCGTCTTTGACTTAAAAACAACCTCACCAAAATAGGCTCTGCTATTTTTTCTCTTCCCCCCACCCCCCGCCCCCCATTCCTGACAGTGCTTTAACATCACAAACTAAGCCCTCTTAACACAGCAGGCAGCCCACCTGCCACTCTCCTCTCCAAGGCTCTACTCCAAGGTTTCCCTACAAGGGTGAGGAGCAGGAGGAGTAAATAACTTAGTTACAATACCATTGAGAAGAAAAATAATACTGCTATTTTTAACATGATCCCCTGTATCTTTCAGGCTGGGTCATGTTCCCAGCCATGGGCAATGTGCCCTTGTGCTGTGTCCTCCTCCTCAGGCAGGGCAGAGCCCTTCTCCATGCAGGCCCTACATTCCTCTACCCTGGCTCCAGGGCCAAACTGCAGGGGCATCTAGCCTCTCACCCTGCCCAGCTGTGGTTTTAAAGCTACAGGACAATGTAAACTTTGTTTCCCTGGCCCAGCAAGGCTCCTCCTCCTCCTCCACTCTTAGGAATGTCAGTAGCTCCTTGGAGTCTCCTGTGCCACTGGCTGAGGCAGCCTCTCTCTCCAAGGGGCTTCGGCCATGGTCCTGGCCCCACAAGATGGAAGGATCCATCTCCAGAAGTCAGGGCCAGATGTGTGTGCTTAATGCGAAACACAGTACAGTTTTTGCCTTCATCCAGAGCTGGGACATGGAGGCCCAAAACAGTAATACATCTCATTAATGGCTTGGTTTCTGTCTAGCATTCACTGCTGGAATCCAGGCTCCAGGCTGTGAGACCCAGAAGGCCACCACAGGGGGCTGCTTCCAAAGAACCCAGTTCGCGGCATTCTACAAGGCGCACAGCACCTGCTGCTCTCCAACGAGGCTAGGGTACAACTAGAGGCGGTTGTCTCCATTGACCCGAGTCCTTCTTGGGGCCCTGGACAGAAGAGAAGAGTATCCTTACTGGCAGGCAGGGCCTTGTAGCCCAATCGGGCAGCCCAAAGCCAGACAATATTACAACTTTTCTACCCAGGAGAAACACACACTGAAGAAGCAGGACCTAGCCACTGCCTTCCTGGCTCTGGCACCCCTCCATCTCTCTCACCTTCGTTCTCGACTGTCAAAATGGTCTGCAAGATGTTCCTGGGAGATGCGGAAGTCCTCAAATGGCTGCTGGTAGCGGGATTCAAAGGAGCCTTCCCGGGCTCGGCCGTGAAACAGCTGGCCTGAGGCATCTGAGCCCCGCTCCCGCAGGGACGTACCACTGAAGGGACTGAGGTCACCATTCTCCTGCTTCAACGAAGGCAGGTGCACAAGAGGGTCAATGACTCCTCTGCACTTCACGAGGCTGCTGTCTGGCTCTCCTCCCACCCACCCCATGCCAGCCCACCCCTGCTGCAGATACCTTGGCAGGGAATATGTCAATCTTGATCAGCAGGGAGGCCAACTCCAGGTCCTCACTGTAGTTGTTCTTCAAAGGCACTGCTCTGTATCCTAGGAGGAGGAAAAGCCTGGCCCTCAGCCCACGAGGGACAGCAAGCGGCCCACCCCACCCTGCCAGCAAGACTGCAGGGGCACTGCCTCCAGGAATGGTCCTCACCTGTCTTCAGGCCTTTTACCGGGAAAGTAGCCTGAGCCAGGAAATTCTGGTCACTAAACATGTCTTCCTCATACACCACAAAGCGCAGAAAGGCAAATTCAGGGTTACTGATCTGGAAGTGGAAGGGCTTGGCTGGCCATACAGGGTTGAGTCCATTGTCCACTATGAAGGCAACGACAAAAGGCTTCAGGTCACCCTGGGAGAGGATGGGATGACTGGTGGGGAGGGGCTTGCAGTGCCCCAGGAGAATGGGAAGACAGACTGACCCACAAACTCTGTCTTCTGCTTGGTGCTGTCATACTCAGCTCCAGCCACCTCAATCTCCACAAAAGGGCACACAATGCCTCGGCCATTCTTTGGCAAATGTCGGGCACCCAGCACCTGTAGGCAGACAGAAGGGCCTGGGATTGTCCTTCCTGCTCCCTCCAATCCCCGACTGTGGAGGCTCAGGCAGGATTTGTGAAGTGGAGGCAGTGCGCCCTCTGCTGGGCCCCCGGGACACTGCCCATGGAGTCTCTCACGACATCGGGGACCCTAAGCTGTCCAGAGCAGCTGCTGCCCATAGTTTATTCGAAGTCTGAGCTTTAGCCAAAATTTCCATGTGAGTTTTGCAATCCACTTCATGTTAAATCCGTGTCTATTTTAACACAGGAATCTTTTAAATGACCTCCCCTTAGGGGAAAAAAAGATCTCATTAGAACAAGTCACCCCATGGCTCTGCACGTCCTAGATGGATAGAGTAAGTGCATGCTATCTTCACCCCTTCAAAGACTCTGCTCAGGCCCCATCCTCCCTGACCACCTTGATGCCTGAAAATGCCCACTTTTGGGGAACTCAACATAAACAGACTCCAACGGCAAGCAGCCCCTTTCCCACCCTGAAGCCCAGATGAGCAGCACCCACCTCAACAGAGATGGCACATGGCTCCAGCCCACGGAGGCTGCTCTTGTCAAAGGGGTCGAAGGCCTCATCCCGCATGGTGCTTGGCTGCAGCACGTAGCCACAGTGCCTGCCCGTCATGAAGAGAGCCTGGTTCATCTGCATAGGCTTGTCTGGAAGAGGCAGGTTATGGTGTATTCCAGTCCAGCTGCCCCACAGTACCCCTCCCCACCCTCCTCACAGGGGACCTCCTCACCAGGGGTCTGGAAGTTGAGGGCCACCAGCTGACTACCACAGATCCACATGGGCAAAGGATCGTAGTTGGAGGAATCCAGTCGCTGGCCCTTGGGGTAGATGCGGGAGAGCTGCAGTCGATTGTACTGAAGGAACTTCTTGCCTTTGGCCTTGTTCACGTATTTCTCAGCCTTGGTCTCCGGGAAGGATGACATGTCCCGGTAGCAAGCACGTTCTGTGCCAATCTCTGGGCCAAACAGGGAGAACACTTACAGAGCCCGCCCACCCAGGAAGTGTTGGGGGGATAACTAAATACTCCTTTTGCACCCACCAGGCCCTGCAGGCACACGCACACCCCGCCTGGGCCCTGGCCCTTACTCTCTTCATCGAAGGGAACAGGCCGGCAGTAGACAACAAGTTCAGAGAGCTCCAGGGCGATCTTCTTCCTCCGTTCCATTATCTTCCCTTCAGTGAGCTGGTGACACACACAAGGCCCTGTAGCCCCAGGCTACAGCCCTGCCCAGGAGAAGGAAGCCCCTGCCAACCTTGGGTATGCCCACACTGCAGGTGCTCTGGGCCCATCTCCCACCCTCTCCTGTACCTTCCAGACACCACACCCAACAGTAAATGAGGGAGCTCTGTCCTCAGCCTCATCCTGGAATCATCTTTCCTCTTTTCTGTCCCAGAGGACACGTTTGCCCTCCAACCTTCTTAGAGGGGTGGGGGATACAGACTCCTCATCACCACCCATGTTCCCAGTGACCTTCCAGGGATCCTGGAATTGGCCACACTCCCAAGTGACACTTTCTGACCATTCATTACCCAGCCTCATCCCAGGGTAAAAATGATTCTTCTGTGTCACCTGTGACTGCACTAGGGATGCAGGCCCCTGGCTTGGTCTCCATCTGTGTCCTAAGGATGATCCTCACTGCCTCAGCTCCCCCAACTCCAATATAACCATCCACTCTTCATGGTGTATCTCCATGCCAAATCTCTACAGAAGCCCACTTATAAGCACCCCATCCTATCCTCTCACCCCTGCAGGACTTTCTTCTTTCAGTGGCTTTTTTTTTTTTTTTTTTTGAGACGGAGTCTTGCTCTGTTGCCCAGGCTGGAGTTCAGTGGCATGATCTCGGCTCACTGCCACCTCCACCTCCTGGGTTCCAGCGATTCTCCTGCCTCAGCCTGCTGAGTAGCTGGGATTACAGGTGCCCGCCACCATGCCCGGCTAATTTTTGTATCTTCAGTAGAGACAGGGTTTCACCATATTGGTCAGGCTGGTCCCAAACTCCTGACCTTGTGATCTGCCTACCTCGGCCTCCCAAAGTGCTGGGATTACACCATACCCGGCCTCAGTGGCTTATATTCAGACTCTTCCTTTTTCAGCCTAGACCCCCGGATCCAGTCCTTCAACCACCTGGTATGCCAGCACCTTTTCTTCTAGGGGACAGCCTGGCAAGCCCCCTATCCCTTCTCTGTTTGGCTTGCAGTTGCCCTCTCCAAAGCAGCTACAGACCCATCTACCAAATGCACTTGGTGAAAGGGGCCACCAAGTAGGAATTCCCTAACCCTTGAGAATACTTCTCTGTTCCCCTAGGCTCAGTGGAAGAGGCCACCCTTCCCCAGAAGGCTGGTCCTACCAGCTAAGCTTGGGCTCCATCTCCTCCTACACCCTGCTTGCTCCTTTCAGCTATCTGCATGAAAGCCTGCTCAAACCCCAGCCACCTGTCCTCTCCCTCAAGGACAGGCCCTACAAAGGCTCTGCCTTTGCCATTCCAGACTCCCCACTGCCCACTGCCATCCAACCCCAGCCATGCTGCTGATGCAGCTCAAAAGTCTCACCAGGGCTATTTGCTGCTGCTGAATCCAAAGGGCACTTACAAGTTCTTATCGTGCCTGTCTTTACCTCTGTAGCCCTCGACACAGCAGACCCCCTCCCTCACCAGTGACCTGCAGTCTGTCTGACCTGCCTTTCCTGGGCTCCTTTCCTTGCCCATGCCTTCTCATATGCAGCTTCTCAATCCATCCCAAGTTCTCTTCCTATTTGACACCACCTCATCCCTTCTATGCCTCAGCCCCCACTCTACTCCTGCTTCCAGCCCAGGACTTCACCTCTTAGCTCTGGTCTTATGTATCCAACTGCCCACTAAGCAGACCCACTTGAACAGCCCATCAGTATCTCAAACTCAACATGACCTAAACACACCACATTGCATCTCATGTGTCTGTTTCTTCTCCATCCCTAGCTAAGGCAGGGGCTGTGGCCTATCTAGCATAGGCCATTGGCTGCCCCACTGCTCTGAGGGGGCTTGTGCTGGGAGCTGGAGGTCTCAGCTGCCTGACAGGCCCACACACTGCCCCCCACCAGGCTCCAGCAGGATCTCACCCTGGCATCTGCGGTCTGGGCCACTTCACGGATCTTTTTCACCCAGTCCTGCAGCTCCTCCTGTGAGTCGGCAGCAACATCCAGGGACCAGTGGGCCACCGACGCCATGCTGATGGAGAAGACGAAGAGCCGGTTGTTCTTGCCCTCAGGACGGATGGCTGGGAGGGCGAGAGCAGATAAAAGCTGGGAATAGACATCTCACCCCCTCCACCCCACTTCACACCGCAGGCACTGGCTCAAATGAGTTCTATCTCATCCCATTTCCTCCTTCCCACACCCCATGAGGGGAAGGACTGCTCTGCAGGCCCATTTTACAGATGACGATGCTGCAACTCTTAAACAAGTCACTGCTGGTTGTGGTGGAGCCAGTGTTCCAACTTAGCTCTGACTCATGCTTCTTCCCTCAAGCCATGTCTCCCTCTCCACCCCATCTCCAAGCCTTGTCACATCCCTGTGGTGCAACCCATTAGGCCTGGGGATGTCAGCCAACCAGGAGCATCATCCTTGCTGATTCTGACGGGTTCCCCAGTGCCTGGTATGGGGTAAACATGCAGGGGTCAAAGCTGAGGGTGACAAAGGGAGCCCAGGGTGTCAAGGGGATGTCCAGAGCATGGGGAGAACTTGGAGTGAGGGCAGCCTTTGGGGTTCAGCCATCAGCTTCCTCCCTAGGAGCAGGAGAGAGATACAAAGAACCTCACCCTAGGGAACAGTGGGCAAGAGAAACGGATGGGAGCTCACCAATCTGACAAGCCGGCACATCCAAGACCCCCCGCAGCAAGTCCCCTAGGGGGCTGTTCTCGTCCAAGTGCTGTGGGAAGCAAAGCCCACCAATGGTCAGCATGGCTACTGCACGTGTGTGAGGGGATATCCGTGTACATGGAACAAATACATCTTGTGGGTGCACCTGTGACTGTCAAACATAGCACACGTATATGGGAGACTACGAGCATGGCCACATGGGCTGTGTGACCAGTCCATGTGACAGGGGTCTGTGCATGCACGTGCGTGCTTGGGACTGTGTGATGGGGGCATGCCAAGGAGAATCTGGGGATAGGGAATGCTGTTCCTCAGGTGGTTCTGGTCTTACCTCCCTCTCTGGCTCCAGGGCCACGGGGTTGACCATCTCTTCCACGTAGTTTGATGGGAACCACAGCTGCTTCTTCCCTCCGTAGTCCCCTCGCCACCTGTGGGAGCCATAAGGTGCTAACCTCCAGCAACCACCCCAAACTCCCATGAGGAGGGTATCCTTCGGTAGAGGCTCCCATGCCTAAGCCAGGCTGAGGCAGGCACTGCTGGTGCACACAGGAGACAAGCACATCACAAATGCATGTCTTTGGGGCCCCAGCTCCAATGGGGTCCTTGGACTCTGGGCCTACCACACCACTGGCTCACCAGCCTCCCTCTTGCTTCTCCACATTCTGGATGATGGCGCTCTTGGTGAAGGTCAGCTCATCCTCCCTCTGGGCCTTGTAGTCAAAGAGGGCTTTGACTGCACACTGCAGAGGTGAGAAGCACCAGTCAGAGCAGAAAGGCTCTCCCTGCCACTGCTGACCTGGGGCTTCACGTGCACACACACGTGTGCCTGGGCTTCCCAGCCTGGGGTCAGGCCAGTGGGAGATGACACTGCCATCAACAGGCCCCAGTTATAGTTCTTGTTACTGCCCTGCAGGGAGGCTCCAGGACAGATATGATCAGAGAGGCAGGGCCTCTGCCAGTGAAGTACCTCAGGACCCAGGTGGAACCTTAAGCCCCACCCTGGGCCACAGGGAGAACCCTGAATCCGCTCCCAGGAGTCAGGGCTGGCAGGCCAAGAATGCAGGGTCTGCAGTTGACCTGAGTGCCTCCCCGGGACCTGGAAGCATATGGGGCCTGGATGGGACCCCACCACTCATCTGTGAAGTGGAAAGAAAAACCTCCTTCCAGATCCCCTGGCTGTGGAGGGGAGGGGGTGAAAAACAGGGCCCAGGCCTTTTTAGAGAAAAAGGCAAAACGAAAAAGAACCTGTGTGACAGAGCTCCATGAGGCTGGGGAATGAGTGGCCAGTATGCCTCCCAGCTCCTACCCCGCTGCTGCCCAGGGAGGAAATGGGGGTCACCCACAGGAGTTTTAAAGGGTCACTGCTGACCTAAAGGGTAGGGGCTAGGGAGTGGGTTGGCCCTGGAAGACCTGCGGTCGCTCACCAACCACACATCTCTCACAACCTCTTGGGCCTCGGAAAACCACAACCACCACTTCTCCATAAAGAACACAGATGGCCCAGAACACAGAAATGAAGCCCCAAGCAGCTGAGCAGCTGGGGACCCTCCCCAGCTTCCTGTGCCCAGAGGCCTGAGCTGTACCTTGAAAGTTGGCATAGGGTTTGCCTCTACATAGAAGCCAGGGTTGCGTCCCTCATACAGGGCCCCGTAGTCAGGCTCCTGGAAACAGGACACAATGGGATATGTTAACGCCCCAGAGCCTACAGGTAGAAAGCAGCTACTGGCTTCCGCAGCAGCTTCCCTTTCCCCCAGTGCAGCAAACTTCCACCTGGCCTTCCTCATCAGGCCACCAAGGCGGCCACCACCACTAGCACCTGGTCCACAGGGATCCTTCAACCTCAGTGGAGATGGCTTCAGAGGCCTCAGGCCAGGTCTCACCCTTTCTTTTCTTCACATTTTTATTATGTGAGGCCCAGTCCAGGATTCTAAAATCTCTCAGGTCCGAAATGCCCAAACTCCCAAGTGTTTCTGAGCTATGTGCAGGTGGGCCCTTCACAGACTACCCATATTCAGTGCTTTAGTTCAGTGGCTCATCAGTTCACTGCTGAGCCCAAAGTCAGGAAGAGCCTTTCCACTCCCCACACTCCTCCGGCCACTCCTCTCCATCACCTGAGCCCCTGGTGCCAGTGGACAACAGGCCTCTCCCCAGCCAGCCCTGTCTACTGAGGACAGAAGTCTCTCAACTGATCTCCTGGTCCTAGACCCCTTTCTTCTGTCCAGGGCCCTTATCACCAGCTGTGCTGCCATGAGTCCCGACTTTTTCCCTCAGTGGTCCCACCTCCTGTGGCTCTGCCCTCCATACCATCCACCAGGAGGCTCCACAGCTACTCTTGGGTAGCCTCTTCCTACCTGCCCTAGGACAGAGTCCAGGCCAAGCCCAGGTTGATGAGCTTCCACTGTGTGCACCTCTCCCAGCGTGAGCCCCAGAACCTCCTCACTCCTCACCCTGACTCATGGGGAACCCGCTGCTTATGTGCCTGTCCCCATCCTTGTGGACACTGCTCAGGTGTCCCCTCCTCCAGACACCCTCCTGGTACCCACACTGGCTCCCAGCTGGACTCAGGGGCCTTCCTATGAACTCCTACAACACCCCAGGCCTTGCTGTTACACATATCCAGATTATCCAGTGACTGCTAAGATTCTGGGTCTCTCCTGCCTCCCCTGCCATGCCCCGTCTACCACAGCCCCTCACAGCTGTGCCAATCTTCTCCAGCGCCTCCTCATTGATTGGATAGCGCAGCTTCATCTTGCGGTATAGCGGGTGCTTCTCATAGTAGCTGATGAGGTCAACAAGGCTGTCGAACTCCGAGTTCCCTAGCATCACAGTCTGGCCCTCTTGCTGGACACGGCAATGCTTGATCTTGCCTTCAGCCCTTCACAAGGACAAAACAGTCACACACGGCAGGGCAGTTCAGACCCAAGCAAGGCCCCACAACCCAGGGCCACACCCCTCACCGGAAAGAGATGGCATATGAGTTGGGCTCATTCCGCTTCCGCACCAGGAAGGCCCCATCACGAGGGACACGCATCAGCATGTGCTCAGCCTGTGCTCTGGTCAGGCTCGCGTGGTACCACCTGAGGACAGGCAGAGTCAGGCCCAGCCAGCACCATCCATTGCCCTGCCCTGCCCTGCCCACCCCCAGGTCCCTCCCTCACTCTTTGCTCTCATGGGCATTGGTCTGTGGGACAGGCTCTGAAAGTCGCATCTCAAACTCATTGCAGCGCAGGGGCACCTGCTGGTAGTGTGTGATGAGGTCATAGAGGGAGTCAAAGACGAGGTTGTCTGTCAAGAAGAACTTGGGGGTCCCAGCATCTTGCCGTGAGTGGATACGGCAGTGCTGGACTTTCCCGTTCCGCCTGTGGAAGACACAACGTGAGGGAGGCTGGGAGAAATAGGCCAGGGCCCCAAAGACCAAGTTCCACCTCAAATGAGGCACCAAGCCTCAAGGAGGGAGGCCAATCTCCTGAGGAGCTCAGGTGTGGGCAGTTGCACTGAAAGGCTTCAAATGAACCAAAAAGGGAGGGGTATGGCGGGGGGTGACAGAGAGAGAGAGAGAGAGAAATTTATGTTCCATGTAAAGCATAATTATTGTCCTGGATCAAAGACTCAAATGTTAACTGATTATCTCTGGGTGATGTCATGTCTGTGTACACACGCTGACTGAACATGTGCATCTGCATGGGAAGTGTTACCAGAAAGAGAGCGTGTAGTCGCCCACGAAGGTCTCACTCTCTCGCACGAGGAAGGAGCCATCAGGGGCCCCGGTCTCGATGCAGTACTCAGTGAGCAGGCGCTCAGCGATGTGCCGCCCGTCACGCCCTGCCCCTAGCTTCCCATGGAACCACTTCTCATTGGAGTGCAGCTCTGTGCTGCTGCTGACCTGTCAGGGGAAGGCAACAGCAAAGACACTGGGACCCTGGCCCAGGCCTGACCTGGCCCAGCCCCAGACCTGAGCTGGTTCCTCACCTCCTTGGGCTCCTCCTCATCCTCGTTGCCCTGGTCACTGCTGGTCTCCTCAGAGTAGTAGATCTTGCTGCTGGTCAGAACGAAGTAGTGGGGATACCATTCCTGGAACGGACCAAAGAGGGACTTGTGAGCCAGGGTCCTCACACCCACTGGCCCACCACCCCCAGCCCGGCCCAGTCCTCACATGGTTCACAGGGTCCTCCAGGTAGAGGATGCCATTCTTGATGGAGTTGCTGATGTCGTTCTCAGAGTACATCATGGATGTAGGCACCTCCTCGTAGGCACTGCCCTCAGCCAGCTTCTTGTGCTGGAGAGGCAACCAGAGCAGGGCAATGCAGACTCCAGTCATCACCCCACCTCCTCACCCAGGCGTAGGCCCAATAGCTGAAGCCATGGCCTGGGCAAGGCACTGAGAAGTGTGGGGCTTCCCCAATAAGCCCACCACCCCCACCTTGATGAGGATCTTCCTCTTAAGCTGGTTGGGTGAGGGGAGCCCATCAGCGGAGATCTCCACAGGCTTGGTGAGGAGTGTGTCCCCTAGCACCTTCTTGAAGTGCTGGGCCATGTTCCTCTGCTGGGCAATGCTGCAGTGGTCCTCAATGGACAGGATGACTGGGTACCTGCAGGGTGGGGGACAAGCACAGTGAAACAGATTCTGCAATTCTCTGGGGTCTAAGTAGTCCCTCACAGTGAGGTGTTGGGAGCCAAGGGCCTGGGGACTTCTTGTCTATAAAAACTATCCCAGGCCATAGCCACTGGTGGGGCAGTGGGGGTTCTACAGCTGTGGCAGCAGTGGAAACCAAAAGGTGGCCACTGATGCAGTCCCAAGCTGGCCCAATTATGGAGGCTGCTCAGCAGTGCAAGAAAAATGAGGCCACCAAAGAGGCCAGGAGAGAGGAGAAGCCTCCAAAGTTAGCTGTTAGAGCCCTGGTGAGCTAAGGGAGACCAGTGACCACAGTTCAAGCAGTAAACAGAATTGAAGGAATGGGACATAGGGAAGACAGACAATCTCCTGGGCTGTGAGGGCAAAGGAGTTGGCAGGACACTGGCCTAAAGAAAGCAGAGGGCATGTTTCCTGAAGATGAGAAGAGCATGTGTTGTACAGTCTAAAGGACCCATGAAAAAGAAAGTGTAACTTGGGAAGCAACAGCTCAAACAGGAAGCAGGTGACGAGGAGAGGCCAAGAGGAAGGACAAAGATGAAAGGCTGAGGGAGAGGGGACAGGGTATTCAGGAGTCTTGCTGCCCTCTGTCCCTCTAGAATGAGAGAGCTGGAGCCAAGTTAACCCCTGGGTCCTCCAGCCTCTGACTCACTCTGAGGCCACAAAGGCATGCTCCTTGATGGTTTGCAGGACATCTGAGAACTTGATCTTGGTGGTAAGGGTGTGCCCATGGTAAATAACTGGCATCCCATCTGGGCCGTCCCAGCAGTCCACTGGGGAGCAACATCATCATGGTCAAGCAGGCAGGCCTCCCATCTTCCCTCCCCCAGCCCCGGACCCCACGCACACTCAATGCAGCGACAGCCCATCCGCAGGCAGCGAGCATAGGCTTCCAAGGAGGACTCACTAGAGAACTGGTCCCCGGTCAGGTACCTGGATAGGCAAGGAGAGGCATGTATGGTCAGATAGGCCCTCCTGGGAAGAAGCTGGGTGGGCCCGAAGGAGCCACACTCACGTGTTGTGTGAGGAGGAGATCCAATAGTGGGAAAGGGGGTTGTTCATGGTGTCCGGGCATACTGCATCCAGCTGTGAGTTCCACACACTATTCTCTTTGGAGAACAGGAAGGTGACAAACTGTCCAGGAACATGTGGAAGGGAAGAGAAAGTGAGTCCCTGCCCGGTCCAACCCGAGATGGTAGGTTGGGGGTAGCAGAGAGAGTGCTCTGTCCCAACTAGGGGTGGGCAAGATGCATAGTAGGTAGGAACAAGGTGGCATCCCTAAGAAGCGTCTAGCTCCTGAAGCCCAGGTGGGGTTCTGGTCACCCCTACCCATTCTCTTGACAAAAAATGGGTGAAACGTCGGACTCACCTCATCCAGGAAGAAGTATGGCTCCTCGATCTCTCGCAAGGGGTCTCGGAGGAAGCTGAGCATGAACTCCTGCACCTGGAGGCGATCAACAGCCCACAGCTCCTGATGGGGTGGGGAGGGCAGGGAATGAGAGAAGCCTCCAGTCATTGATGAGCCCAGCCCCCCAACAACCTGACAGCCTGGGCCAATGTCAGCCCAGCCATACCCCCTGGTAGTCAAGAAGGAACTGCTGGAACTCAGGAAGGGACACTCGGCAAAGCTCCGGCCGCTCCCCAGCCCTGCAGGGAGAAAAGGTAAGCTAGCTAGCATGGTCAACAGAAAACAAGGTGCCCCATGGAAGGCAGAACCCAACTCCCAGCCAGCACAGCTTCCCAGAATGGTCCAGCATGGTTCCCTACTCCCACTGCCTCCCACCTGGATCAGGAATCGCCCAGTGGCGAGATGAAGGGGGCCCAGGGAAAACCCCACCTCCCCACTCCAAACCAAACCTCAGAGTACTGGCTTCCAAGAAAGGGAGGTCCATCTGCAGGAAACAGAACCTGGTCAGGGCAAGAGCCCCTGGGAGGCCATGTGGGAAAGGGGCTAGTAAGAAGACAGGCTAGAGCAGCAGATGGGGGTAGGCCTCAAGAGGAGAAGAACTGGAGAAATGGCACCAAAAAGCCCCTAAGCAGGGCAGCAGGGCTGAGGCAGGCAGAGCTGGGGGGTGGGGTGGAGGAGCAGGGGCAGGGGTTGAGGGAGGGCAGGTGGCTCATGCACCGTCTTCTGGGCGCTGTACATGAGGCTGCGGTACAGCTGAGCAAACTGCCCGTAGGTAATGTCCCCGCTGCGCTGCTCCAGGTCCTGCATGGTATAGAGCGGGAGTGCCAGTCAGGCAGTCAGGGCCCCAGCTGCAGGGCTCTTGGCTTCCCCTGCCCCCAACTACAGACAGCCCTGGGGGGCACTTACCGTCAGCCGCTCTCGGAGGAAGCGCATGTTGGGGACCCGGTAGTTGACCTGGGACAGCATGTTCTTTAGGTCCTTGGCTGATATACTGAGAAAACAGGGACATCCCCAGTGGTCTCATCCAGCTTCTCATGACCTCTGACCTGTGAGTCGAGCCCACCTGGGGCTGGACAGGTAAACAACACTATTCTGGGAACCTGGAGTCCTGAGGGCGAGACTGGATCAGAACCCATGGGGTGACCAAGGTTAGTCCCTTCCTTTCTTTGGACCTCAGTTCCTCATCTGAGCAAAAAAAAAAAAAAAAGCAAGCCTGTAATTCTGGCAAGGAAGATGTGAACAGATTCAGTAAAGTGGGTCAGGCATGGGAGGAAGAAAAACCACTCTCCAGGCCTCCCCTCCCACCGGCACTGCTCAGGCCTGTGCCAAGGTGGCAGTCAGCCCATCCAAGACAGAAGGCAGGGCTCACTCACAACTTCCCTGCTGGGGGCAGCACGGCAGCGGGTCCCTACCTGCTGCCCACTGCGATGCTGGGAGTTTGGTCCTCAGAACCCACTAACCCATGAAGGGGAGGGAGGAGGAGGTGCATGCTCCACCAAATACAATGACTGGCAACTGGGCACCTCCTGGGGCTAGACAGGGCCTGGCTCCAGGAAAGAAGCTCAGAGAACAAGGCCCCTGCTCTCCAGGGGTGTCCTGCCCACGATGTGAGGCTGGGGACACTGCTGGACCTGGCAACAGGATGGACGAGAAGGAGGAAGGGGGACTTTCTCTCCTGGAAGGTGGTGTCAAGGAGGGGAGGGGAGGGTGGGGTCACCTCCTCTGAGCCCCAAGGGCCTGGGAGGAGGCACCAAAATTCCCCAAGGGGGCTGAGCGCCACACTGAGTGGATCAAGCGCTGCAGAGGGAGGGCTGGCTCTGTACAGGTGCCACCTCCTCTGATCCTCAGTCACCCAGGAGGTAGGTGCTATCAGGGTCCTTGTTTTCCAGTGAGGAAACAGAGGCCTTCTGGTTGCAACTGCCTGCATCACCAACCTTGCCCTCTGTGGTCTCTTTCCCATCAGCATACGAACAGCCTGTTACTTCTTCCACCAAAAACACGTGTCTTGCCCCTGCTTAGCTCTCCAAGTACTGCCCTCTTCTTTGCTCCCCGCCACCGCAAAACTCCTTGCAAGAGTCATATTGCTCCCTCTCATTCCCGTGAGCCCCTCACCACTTGGCTGATACCGCTCTTCTCACCATGTTAAATCCAAGGGTCAATGGTCAGATTTCACCACTGTCTTCTTCCTTGGGCTGCCAGAACTCAGCACTCTGGGGGTTCTCCTCTTACCGCACTATTTGTCCCCAACCCCTCCAATCTCTAATATGGGGGTGGTCTGAGGTCAGCCACTGGACCCTGCCCTTTTCTTGGTCTGCTTGCCCCCTAGGTGATCTCACCCAGCCCTGTGGCTTTCAGTGTTATCTACATACACCCAAGTTAAAATCTGCAGCCCCCACTGTGTATGTACCTAAACTCAGTCTAACCACCTGCCTACTCAACAGCTCTCCCTGAACAGCTAACAGGCATCAGAAAACTTAACAAGCCTCAAAGTGAACCCCTGATCTTCCCTCCAAATGGGCTCGTCCCATGATCTTTTCATCTCAGTCAATGGCGACTCTGTTTTCCAGCTGCTCGAGCCAAAGAGCATACTATTATCCTCAATGCCTCTCAAACCCCAAAATCAATCTGTTAAGGATATTCTTTCTGGCTCTATCTTCAAAATACAACATGGCCAAAATCCAGCCACTTCCTACCATTACCATCATGATCCAAGCATTCTCATTTTTCACCTGGAGTGTGGAAACAGCTAACTGAGCTCTCCACACAGCAGCCAGAGTGATCCTGAGTAACCCATCAGGTCACATCACTCCTCTCTTCAGAACCCTTCCATGGCTTCCCATTTCTTTTAGGTCAAAGGATCTCACCACGGTGCAGCACCCACACCATCTGGTCTTTGCTCCCCCTTCTCTCCTTGGCCCCTCTGGCTGCCACACCAGGCCTCAGAGCCATAAGCCTCAGGGCACCCTTCACACACTACTGGCCACCCTCACCTCCAGGACACCCAAAGGCAGTTCTACATACCCAGTCTCTGCCCATAGCGGCAGGGCACACAGCATGTGGCTGGCTCCTCTCACTAGCTCACACCAAGGCCACCAGAGGACTTTGTGCAGAAAGCTACATGTGGCAGAACCTGCTGCCCACCGCCCTGGCCCCGCTTAAGGTCCCCTGGGTCCTCTGGCTCTCCAGGCAGCTACTTAGAGGCCTGGCTAAGGTTCTGGATGCCCATCCCCACCCTGCTGGGCTAGAGTCACAGCTCAGTACTTACCGATCCTCACGATTCCGATCCACTGAGTAAAACTGCTTCCGGAGCCACCTGGAGAAAGAAGCCTGAGGTGAGGGCCACTTCTCCATCTACGGCCAGGCCCGGGAGATGCCTGGGCACACAAAGGGACTGCTGTTCCTGTCCCCCTGGTCCCTAATGCTCCCAGCCCTAACCCCTTCAGGAGTGGTTCTTACCTCTCAATCTGCAGGGGTGTAGGTGCCTGCAATGTATCCTCCATCAGCCAAGTTAAGCCCTTGATCCACATGTTCACTTCATCCTCAGATGTGGCTGTGAGCAAGGTATCATCAGCTGCACCGAGGGCATATACCTCCCACTGGGCAGGAATGAGCAGGCAATCCCCTAACTATCCCCTACCTTCTCCACCCCCTTGACTCCCACCTTGCAGGCTCAGCGTCTTCAGACGGAATTCCATTCCATAGAGAATGACAAAGCAGTGTGACTGGTCTGGCCGGAAAGCGGGGTCCTCTTGATAGCGATCAAAGTCTCGTGAGGTCTTCCCTGGGCGAATCTCCTTGATTTCTCGAATATCAACTAGGAAGGCAGCAAAGAGGCCAAGATCAAGCTGGGCTCTCCCAGAGTCAATACCGAAAGGAGGGCAGCCTAGTTTCCTCATTCTTTTTTTTTTTTTTTTTTTTTTTTTTTCCTGAGACAGAGTCTCGCTCTGTCACCCAGGCTGGGATGCAGTGGCCGGATCTCAGCTCACTGCAAGCTCCGCCTCCCAGGTTTACGCCATTCTCCTGCCTCAGCCTCCTGAGTAGCTAGGACTGCAGACGCCCGCCACCTCGCCCAGCTAGTTTTTTGTACTTTTTAGTAGAGACGGGGTTTCACCGTGTTAGCCAGGATGGTCTCGATCTCCTGACCTCGTGATCTGCCTATCTCGGCCTCCCAAAGTGCTGGGATTACAGGCTTGAGCCACCACGCCCGGCCGGTTTCCTCATTCTTACACTTTCAGGGAAGAACCCCAGAGGCAGAGCCAAGACCACTCAGTCACTCTGGGTAATAAGAGGGCTGGGTTGAGTCTAGGGATAGGCCTTTGCTAAGTAAGGGCTGAGATGTCAGAGAGGGCCATATGGGGGAAAGGCGGTTCTGTGGGGTGTCCCTTCCCTATCTTTGTTCCCTCACTGAGACATTTTGACCTGCAAAAGAGCTGGACTCCAGAAGGAGAAATAGGGACCCAAGGCTGTTCATGAGGACCACTTCCTGAGACGAGGTACACACCAATCAAATCATAAAGTCCCAGAGGCAGGGCTGGGTAGGTCAAGATGGGCCTCAGGATCCCTGGGAAGTAGGCTCAGGCCCAGAGGACTGGTGCATCCCTGAAATGCCTAATTGCTTAAGACATCCCCACACGAGTCTCAGCAAAGGGCCTAATCCCCACTCCATCCCCTGACCAAGGCATCGGCTGTCCAAGAGCAACAGTCATCCTGGACCCAGACCACCGTTTTGCCTGGGACCATTTCCTTATCTTAGCTATCCAAGGCCCTTGCATGCTCCCTTGGCCTTCACAGGGCATAGTCAGAGAGGTACAGGGGCTTGAATAGCACATGACCTGCCTCAGCCACTAAAACTTGAGACAATGACGAGTTCACTCATTTAACTTCTCACAGTCTCAGTTTTACCATCCGTAAAGCAAAGGGTTTGACTGAGTTTCTCTAGAAGGCAGGGTGGTAGAAAAAACATGCACAAGCTCTGGGCGAGACTGGCTGAACTAAAATCCTAGCTCCACCTCACATCTATGTGATCTCAATAAAGTGACAGCCGCTCTGACCTCACTGCTACACTTGTGAAGTGAGTAACATAAGAGAGTAGCATACAATAGCATCAGAAAGATGTTGGTAAGATCAAAAGTTATAACAGCTAGAAACACTCAGCACTGTATGTGGGGCATGGAGGGAGCCCATCCAATGGACTCCTCTGCTCCCTCAGCAAAGGTGCACAGGCTCTGACACACTCTCCAGCATAGGGAGGAGCTGCCCGCTGGCCGGAGGGCAGACATTCTAGCCCAGAAGTCACCAATTTAAGGTAGATTAGGTCAAAGGAAAAAAGCTTGGCTTAGCCAACAGCGATGACTTTCTTTTGAGTATTCCCTAAGCTCTGAAGCCTCTTGAAATGCTCTAAACCCAGACTGGCCTGGTAACTTTGGAGCCAGATGCAGTGCCAGCATTTGCCTGGCCAGCCCCCACCCCAGGAGCCCTTCCAGCCCAAACTGCACACTAACCTAGCTGCAATGTCCTAACAGCCCAACTCCCCCAGATGCTCTCTTCTTGTCCTGTCCCTCTAGCAACTGCCACAGAACTCCACATCTATCCCACCGGGAACAGTGGGCATTGCTTCTGGCCCTAACCCTAGATCCCTGACACATTCCTGGTTCTACCTGGAACCACCTAACCCCTCAGCAAACCCCTCCAGCCTGTCCTCCAGCTGAGAATCCTGCCTTTCCTGCTGTTTTCCCTGCCCCCGGTTCTCACCAATCAGCCATCCTTCCCCAGTCTTCTGGCTCTTCATAAAACATTATTCTGACCCCCTTAGACCTCATTTAAGCCCCTCCCGAGGCTGCCCATTGCCAGTCTAAGGAAAACAAACACCTTCTATGGCCTTGAGGGCTCTTTGTGACAGGGCTCAGGAATTTACCTCCCCAGCTTTTGCCCTCTCACCCTCTCTGCTCCATCCCCACTAAGCCATACCTAGGGCAAGAATAGCTGTTGCTTCCTATCCCTATTTCATCTTGATTCCTAGTCTGGAAATGTCCACCTCCCAGGCTCCCTTCTCTTTCACCAAGGGCCCAACTGAGAAGTTCCTTCCTGTGATACTCATACACTTGATGCCTCTTGTATACAAACATGTACATACATTGCTCATACACCTAAGGCCAGGCAGGACCCCTCCAGGGCTTGCTTAATGACTGAAAGAAGAAATGAAAAAAGCAGGTACACAGGCAGAGGGAGGGAAAATCAAATAGGGATGGTAAAAAAAAAATGAATAGTTATACTCAGGTAGAAACAGAGGGAGGGAGAACTGGGCCATAAAAGACCTAACCGAGAACACAGGGCTTCCAAGGACAGAAGGAGGAGCTTCTATCAGGGGAAATGGCTAGATCAGAAACTGCAGAACAACCACAAACTCTGCCTTTTGAAACAGAAACCAGTCTGCTCTTCCGGTGTGGAGCTGCTGTCATCCCCCTCCCACACCTTCTTGCAAAGGTGAGTGTGACTGTACACACACACACACACACACATAGAGTCAACAGGCCTGTACTCCTGCGCATATTTCCATTGAGATCAGTTGAAGGCAGAACAGGTGCCTGAGATAGGGACCAGGTGGGCACAGTGCAGCTCCAGGTCAGGCATCCAACGCTCCCAAGTTCCTGTTGGCCACACCTGGTCCCTTGTACTGTCTTCCATAAGGAGGCACCAGCCTGGTCCTGGCAGCACAGTGAGATGCTCTACTAGGTTCTTGGAAGCCACATCCTGTGCTACCTCCCAACCTCACCCCTCATCCTCCTGCCTCCCAGAACAAATATGGCAGCAGCATCTTTCCTGAGAGAGCCAGGGCTGGTCCCCAGGAATTCACGAGACTCCCCAGAGAGGAATGGCCTCTGCCCTGGTTGCAGGTGAGAGAGACTGATCCAGTCTGGCACAGTCTGGGTTAGAGCTCCCTGCCATTAGTCAGGAGGGCAGGAAAAGAGATCGTCCCAGAACTTGGGAGCTTGAGAAGGGGAGAACTACTTAGGGGAGTAGGAAAGTCACACCTTATATCCAGAAATCCATGACCTAGCACTCCTCCCCAACTCAGAACCATGAGAGAACAACATTCAGGGGAACTCTGGGGGAAAAGAAAAGCCAGGGGTACTAAGAGGCCCTCACTGTGAAGAAGATGGGGAAGTGAGAAGGAGGAACTCTTTGAGAACAAGGGCAGGATCCCCCAAGTAGCAGCCCAGAGGCCTGATATGTAGCATGACGACAAAGGCTTAATGCCCAGGCTCACCTTGACCCAAGAGGGCACAGCCCAGCCAGCACAGCCCATCAGGGCTGCAGCATATTCACTTTGCCCAGCACCAGCTCCCCAGGCCCATAGCGACAGCTGCCCAGGCTTCAGGAATGGCACCATGTCCCCAAGCCCACAGTGAACACTGCCTGGGCTTCAGGAATGGCCTGGGCATTACCATTTCAAAAGCAGCTATGGTAGACAGTGACAAGATAAGCTGCTTGGGGCAGTGAGGGGGATTTAGTCCCTTATATTTAACTGCCCACAAACTCTCATGAAGAAACAGACTGTCTTTCTTGAGGGGCTCTGAAGTAGTGAGGGACCACACACACCTGTGCCTGGCCTGTATACCACATGTCAGCTCAGAGGACTGAGAACCTTCTCATAAGCCAGGCTTCCCAGTGCCCCAGGCAGAATCCTGGGGGCCTTGCTCTGCTCCCTGCCCTGGTAAAGATCTGCATTCTCCTGCTCTTTCAAGAAGCCTTCCCTGACCATCCCCTTCCCGCTTAGTGAGAACCACATAGCTCTTAAACTCTAGCTATGAGGCCCTGGCAGTCCCTCACTCTTTCGGCCTCAGTTTCCCCATCAGGAAACTGGAAATTCCTCTTACCTCACATGGTTACTGTGAGGGCCATGCTGGGAAGTGCTGGTAATAGAGAAGCCTGGAGGCAGCCCACCTGTCTGTGTGCCTAGTGCCATTGACATGGAGCCTACAAAAGCTAACAATAGTGGAGATAAATAAGGCCACTTGCCAGGGCCCCACTAGGTGCAAACCCAAACTTAGGTGAAATAAAGCTGGTCCATGAAGAGAAGAATACAAGCAGCTATTTCCCCAGCTCAAAAAGAAGTCTGGCAGGGACGGGGGCATTGTATGGGGAGAAGGGGGACTCTTATGGACTTGTGTACAGATAAGCATAAGCAGACATGCTGCTTCCTGAGCCTGCAGTGCCCCATCTGCACACTCACCAATAGTCTGAGGCATGTGCACCCCTAAAGATCAAGTTTCAAATCCTGGCTTCAAGCATATAGCGAGGCCTTGGCAAGTCTGCAGTCCTCTCTGTTTCATCATAAGATGAAGGATTTCGTGGGAGTAGACACACAACAGACCCTTACTTGTAGGCACACTACCTCACAGATACCCACATAGGAAGGTCAGCCTTGGCCTGCCCTACCACGCCCAACCTCAAATTCATTTGTGTTTTGTTTTCTGGGCAGAAGGAAATGTGCCTGCTGCCTGGCACCTGGGGCCAGCTCTAAGCATTGAGGCAAAATGCCACAAGACTGAATTTGTAAAATAAAAGCTTATATGATGAGGCCAGGGAGACTGGGAAGGGCAATGTTCCTTTTCCATCTCCTCCCTCTTCTCCCCTCCCTTCTCAGCCCAGGGACAGACTCCTGGCCTAAGACCACAGACATTAGAGACCAGCAATTACTCAGAGCGGAGCTTCTGGGCCATGCAGTCCTGGAGAGCATCCACCTTTTGGACATGCCAGTAATGGCAGTTGCTTTCCCTTTAAAAGGAGCCTATTTCCTCATCTGAGCCACCC